CTCCACAAAGTAAATCTACATAGTTCATCTCGTGGATTTATTGTGTGCGTGTGAGGTCACACGGTGTCTGTCCTGTCCCTGGCTCCTCAGCTCTCCTGTGGTGAGGCAGGTCAAGGCAGTATTTGCTGCTGACACACGCCCTAACTCTAATGTCTCCTCCCCATTCCCCGCCATCTCTCAGTGGAAGTCTCAGCCTACTGACCCACCTGGTCACATGACCCACTCAGGGGGTGCAGATGGGAGGGGGAAATATGTCCCTGAGCTCACAGCAGTGTCCCCAACACCCCCATGTTTCTTGAAAGGATACCCCTCAGGTGGAGGGGACCCCAGGGCCAGTTCAGGACACAAACCTCCACCTGGCAGCCACCCAGCACACTGACCAGGAGTGAAGGATCCAGGTTAACCCCCCCCCCCGTGGACCCCCCCCCCCCCGTGGCTGTCATTATCTCAAGATGAATTAAACATGAGACCTTTCTGTGCAGTGTCTGGGACACAGTGGAGCCAGGCTCCTGCCTGCCAGAACACCTCATTTTCCATTCAATTATCACGTGCGTAAAGGCTGGAGGAAGAGCTCCTTCCACAGTGCGGCTCGGGGATCGAACTGAGGTCATCGAGCTTGGCAGCAAGCCCCCACAGAGCCATCTCTCCGGACCTCGGACCTCGGTGTGTGTCAGACAGGTGGTTATGCACGTGTCCTCGGGGTGGCCTGGAGCCTGTGGTGGCTGTGGACCCTGGTGATTTTGTCGACTGTAGGAGTCTGGGGGCCCAGCCCGCAGGCTTCCGGTCCCCTTGAAGCCTTTGTGAGGTAAATGAACTTGAGACTATAGAAACTTAAATAGCAATGTAACCCGTAAGGGGCCATCCACATAGGCTAGTGGCCATGGCAACAGGACTAGGCTTTTAATTTTTTATTATGTTTTTATTCATGTATTTGTGCCTCTGTATGTGTGTTTGACCAGTTGTCAGGGTCATGCTGCCTCAGTTTGCACTTTGCACCATGTTGGGGTTGGGGTTGTGATTCAGCAAGCTAGGGGAGGAGTGAGATGGTGGGTCCCTCCCCACTCTGTGACTCCACTAGGGTCCCAGCTTGCCCTGTGCCTCAGTGGCTGCCCTGTGGCTCCAAGCCAGGTGGCAGCGGGTGTGTGTGTGTATAGGATTCCAGCCTTGACTGGAAGCTTGCTCCAGACATGTGTTTTTCTGCCCTCAGGATCCATACCCACAGGCCTCAGAGAGGCTGCTGTGGCTCCAGCACAGGGAACAGACCCATGCATCCCAGGCTAAATGGGCCGTCTTAACTTTTAAACAGCCTCAAGTTCAAACCCAACCTGCTCAGAAACTTAGACCCCAGCATTAGGAAAGTTCCTGTAAAATGGGGGTGATCACAGCCCCCCCCCACTCCTGTCGGGATGGAATGAGCTAAAGAAAGCATTTAACCACTGAGTGCAAACTCAGAGCTCAGACATGGCTCAGCCAGGGCTTGTAGCTAAAGCTCAACAGCCTGAGTTCAAACCCTGGACCTGCCAGGCGGTGGTGGCGCACGCCTTTAATCCCAGCACTCGGAAGGCAGAGGCAGGCGGATCTCTGTGAGTTCGAGACCAGCCTGGTCTACAAGAGCTAGTTCCAAGCCGGGCGGTGGTGGCGCATGCCTTTAATCCCAGCACTCGGGAGGCAGAGGCAGGCCGATCTCTGTGAGTTCGAGGCCATCCTGGTCTACAAGAGCTAGTTCCAGGACAGGCACCAAAGCTACAGAGAAACCCTGTCTCGAAAAACCAAAAAAAAAAAAAAAAAAAAAAAGAGCTAGTTCCAGGACAGGAACCAAAACCACAGAGAAACCCTGTCTCGAAAAACCAAAAAATAAAAAAAATAAAAAGAAAAAAAGAGAAAACCCTGGACCTGACTCTTGCCGGCCAACCTCTGACCTCCACCTCCCTCCATGCCACCGTGAACAAGAACTTGCTTCCCTGGAAAGAGATGGGGAAGAGGAGCTGGTGGGAAGAGATGGGGGGCACTCAGGGGGTGCTGGGACAGATGGGGAGCCTAGCGATCAACCCTGCAGGCTTCCACTGCAGCTATTCCCCAGCCTCAGTGTCCCACACAGGAGTGGAGGTAGTAGGGAGAGCCTCCAACAATCCTGTCCCAGGACCTTGGCATGTGCTGAGTTCGCTGTTTTCCCTTCTAGATATTTTCCCCAGATCCCTCTCTGCTCTCCTCAACACACGCCATACACATGAGACACAACACTAAATTATCCTGCCTGCTTCTGTTGTAAGAGGAGCAGTGGGTTGCGTCCTGCTGCCCTGGCTAGCTTAACCCCCAAAATAACCACACCAAAATTGTATTAATTAAAACACTGCCTGGCCCATTAACTCTAGCCTCTTACTGACTAACTCTCACATCTTGATCTAACCCATTTCTAATAATCTGTGTAGCACCATGAGGTCGTGGCTTACAGGGAAAGATTTTAACCTACGTCTGTCTCGGGCTGGAGTTTCACGGAGTCTGCCTGACTCTGCTCTTCTTCCCAGCATCCAGTTCTGTCTTCCCTGCCTACCTAAGTTTCTGCCCTATCAAAAGGCCAAAGCAGTCTCTTTATTCAACCAATGAAAGCAACACATCCTACACGATGCTTCTTTTCAATTTTTGGCCCTTTTTTTTTTTTGAAACAGAGCCTCAGTCATCTCTGGCTGACCCTGAACTCATTATGTAGACCAGGCTGACCTCACTCACAGAGATCCTCCTGCCTCTGCCTCCCAAGTGCTGGGATTAAGGCATGAGCCATAATGCCTCTGCATCTAAATTCTTATAATTCAGACTGATCTTTGACCAGAGCCCCCTTGTTGAGGCTACAGAAGTTGAGAGAGGGAAAGTTGACTTCCCAAGGCAGCCCAGCCTCCTCCAAACCCATGCTGATAGTGGTCTTGGCTGTATCCAGCCATAATTAATTCTGAGTTCCTCCTATTTATCACAGAGCTGGGAGCCAAGTGCTACGAATTCCAGCCCAGAAGGAATCAGAGCATCTGGGGCCTGCAGTGACCGGAGCGGGATGGGGCAGCATACCCCATACCCCCACTACTTGCTTCCTGAATCCCAGTCCAGACTGCAGGGGGAAAACATCCCGGATGAATAACAGTGTAATAAACACAGCTAGTTCCAGGACAGCCTGGACTACAGAGTGAGACTTCTCAAAAAAAAAAAAAAAAGTTTTAGGGAACATGAGTCATTTGAGAACCTCCCCCAAAAAGTGCTTTTGGAGATACAGGATGCAAGCCCAGGCTCCGGATCCCCCGAGTCAGCATCTGAAGAACTGTTGCCAGTTTGAGGCCAGGCTGGGCTACAGTTACAAACCTGGATCAAAATGAGCAACAAAATTAAAAACTAAACACAAAGGAAAAGAAAAATGTTAAAGGTGGAAGTGGGGTTAAAGGGTAAAGGAAACCGTGCAAAGGTCCTGCGCCTCCCCAAAGAGGCTCAGTGCGAGAGTGAGGTTTAGGCTGGGTGTCACTCAAGATTAGACCATGCCTAGAAACCCCAAAGGAGGGGTGGGGTGACCTCCAAGAAGGGGCTCCACCCTAACTGTACCCCAGCCCCTCACTGGGGGATTCTAGGCGGGGCTCCACCCTGACCACGCCCTCAGACCCTCACTGGGGATTCTAGGCGGGGCTCCACCCTGAAGGTGCCTCTAGCCTTCAGTAGTTTTTGAAAACTGCACAGATGCGCTCAGACACAGAAACGACAGATGAATGTCCATAGACAGGCTGCTGTCCCTGGTAGCCCCGCTGCGTCTCCAGCCAATGCTCTGACAGCAGGGCGAGCACTGTGGAATCCACCCTCCTCCCACGCTGACGGTTGGCCCGCACCCAGCGTGTGTGCGTGGGCCCCATGGCAGCAGTCGGCCCCTCCCTGAATGTCACATGCCTCAATGAGACCAGAGAGGCTGCCAAGTCTCACCGAAACTTCCTACCCCAGCCAGGGCTTGCTGGCTGGGTGGGGTCTGAGGCTCGCCAAGCCCTGGAGGGAGAAGGGGCAGCTGCCTGGATCACCAGAAGTAGAAATGGTGGGGGGTGGGGGAGGCGGACACGGACACCAGCACAAAGACACTGGGAAAGGGAGTGGCACCTGCTTCTTCTTCTTCAGTCTTTTTTTATTTGAACGCGTGGAAAATGCCCCCTATACCTAGAGCCCAGACTGGATGACCTTGGGGCTCCAGTTCACCAACGAGCCTGACACCACCTGGTCTCATGACTCAGGTCTAGGCCAGCAGCTCAGTGCTGGCATAGCAGGGCCGGGTGTGGGGGGAACTGGTGGCTATTATTGGAGTATCAAGAATGGCTATGTAAAAATGGGACACCGAAAGTAGGCCTTTGTAGGATATATAGGAGTTTGTACATTTAAAAAAAAAAAAAAAAAGCAGAGGGACCTATGGCCAGAAATCACGGGGACCTCAGGAGGCAAGGAGCAAGCTGAGCTTGTGGGCCAAGCATGCTTAGCAGCCTGACTCACACCACACCTCTCAGGGCCTGGAGCCTCCTGGGTGGGTCACATGGCTTCTGATGACTGTTGGAAAAAGGGCACAGGAAGTCAGGAATTCGTGGCTTTGGGGCCTCAGGGCAGACCCAGAGCCTCTGTGGGCCTTGGTTCTACAAAAACAGGATGCAGGGAACCCATCTTGCTGTGTGCATCCACCTCAGGCTGGGAGGCCTTGTATCAAAGCCGGGAAGGGGAGGAGGAAGGGAGAGAGGGAGGGAGGCTGGAGGGAGGGAAGGCCGCTGGATAGGCACCAAGGGACAGGCCCTACATTATTATTTCTGAACACACCAGGGCTGTAGGGCTTAAGGAATGAGTGGTGATTTGCATGTGATTTGCATTCAATTTACATAGTGTTTGTTAAATGTCAAAATGCTTTCTCTCGCCCCCCCCATACCAGCCCTTCCCCCCACCAGTTATCCCCCATGGCTGAGGCCACAGAACCCCCCCCCCCCCCCCCCCGCAGGGACTGCGGCTACCCCTACAGCCGAGCAAAGGAGACTGGGGGGAGGAAGAGACCCCGGCACACTTGTGCATGCCCAGTAGCCCAGCTCCCCAAGGCCAAGACTCAGTCCCCACCTCCGCACCCTGAGGCCTGTACAACTCTTAATTAGGGCGTATTGCCTTCTGGGCCCACCATGTAGCCCACAGCATGGGGGGGGGCTCCTGAAGTCTCAGCACAGCACCCCAACCCTGGGCTGTGGAGGAGAGCATCCACAGTCCGTGGCAGATCACTTTGCACATGCGTAGGCTCATCGAGTCCCCTCAGATCAGAGTCTTCTTGGTCATGACCCCAGCAGATCCTCCTGTAGCCAGAACCGTTCTGAGCAGGAGCCCTGTGGGTCACCAAAGAAGGAACTGTGCCTGTTGATGGAGGGCTTCCTGGATGAGGGCACAGCCGAAGATTCAGGTGGTGGAGGAGGCTCCCAGGGGAGGGAGTGGTCCCAAGGCCATGGAGAAACCGTAAGACTCCTTGCTGGTGGACTGGACAGCATCTGGGAGGCAGTGGGCATCAGTTGGGCCCAGGTGTCACATCTACCTGGGAGCCCAGCACCTGGATCTGCAAGGAACATGTGGTCCCAGTGATGTGAACCAGCAACTTTCAGCCAATGACTCTTCTAACCCTTTCCCAATGGCCTGGATCTGGGTGTGGATGGGGAGTGCAGTGGTCACCCAGGACTTTTGGAGACCTTCTCCTATAGACAGCCATAGTGCTTGAAGCCCCCTGGTGGACGCCACAGGAATTGCAGGCAAAGCTGCCTTAGTGCACCCTGGTGGTTGTTACAGGAATTGCAGGCAGAGCACAAGCAAACATCCTGCCACCCAAGTGTGGTCAGTCTGGGCCTGCATCACAGTGAGGCCAGAGGGGAGCAGGGAATTTCGCAAGGTCACACAGCAAGTTGGCAGCAATAGTGCCAAGCCAGCATTAGGAGGTGGGAAAGTAAGGTCAGTGTCTCATAGGCCCTCAGTTTTCCCATCTGTGGATTTTACCATGTCTAAGGTGCCCATTTGAATGGTTTACCTGGAATAAGGCTGGGCTCCCAGGAAGACAGAAGTGTGCCGCCCCCGGCCCAGTTTGCTCCTTCAGCCAGCTTGCGTCCCAAAAATCATGGCTCAAACTCGGACCCAGTTACCTGAGGGGTCACAAAGAAAGATACAGGTTAAGACAAAAGCAGTCACCGCTGGGTTTCCTTTCCAGGTAGCCCGGGGTTCAGCTAAAGTGTTTGTACTCATGAAGACACCACCTGGTCTCACTAGAGACACTCTGACCAGTGTCGTGGTGTCGTGCCCCCCCCCCTCCGCTTGTGACGGGGTCGGGGCTGGGAGCTGCTTGTTCTGTGTGCTTCCAACAGGAATGGACAGACACTGAAGGAGGGATGGAGACAGACAGACAGAGGTCTGAGGAAACGCAGGGAGGGAGGCGCAGAGAGAGACAGGAAGGGAAGGGAGGCGCAGAGATCTGCAGAGATAGAGACAAGGACCCAGAGAGGAGGGCAGGAAAGGGAGTACCAAGAGCCGCTGTTGGAGCCAACACCACAGACCGACGGAGCCAATGGGGCAGAGAACAGGACCCAGCACAGCGGTCTCTCTCACCCCATCCCTGAGCCACCACCAACCCACCAGGCCATCCTCCATAAGCCAGAGCCCATGATCCTACCAGGTCCTTGCCCAGGACCCCAGCTCAGACCCCCCAGCCCAGGTCCCCAGCTCAAAACCCCCCCCCCCCCCCCCCCCCCCCCCGCTCAGGTCCCCAGTTCAGGTTCTCTCCCTAATCACCTGGGGTCGCTGAGCAGCAGCAGGACCGAGCCGTCCTGTAGGCGCGCCTCGCGCACCGTCTGGTGGTCTGGCAAAGGCCTAGCGTTGTAGTAGAAGGTTCTGCGCCACGAGCTCACACCCTGGCCCACCAGCTGCGCGCGCAGGTCGCTCAGCGTGTCGCGGGGCCGCACGGTCAATGGCAACAGCAACGCCTCGTCGGCCAAGTGCACCTTGATGTGGTAGCGCTTCCAGCGCGACAGCCCGCGACGCAGCCCCTCCATGGCCGCCGCCAGCCTGAGACTCCCCAGGCTAGCTCCTGCCAGACCGGCTAGGCCACCCGCCCCCGCCCCTCCACCCCTTCCCAGGCACGCCCTGCTGCAGGAGCAGCCCACGCGGGCGAGGAGGGGAGGGAGGAGGGCTGGTGACGTTTGTTGGCTCTGCCCCGGCCTCCACTGCAACCTTTCCGGTCTTTGCACAGGTGCTAAGGCCCTGGGGCAGAAACCACAGAGCAGGAGAGACCCTGGTGTATTGGAGAAGCTGGGAGTTGGCCCTGTTGCTGGAGTAGAGGGAGCGAGGCTAGAGAGAGAAGAGGAACGAAAGGAGAGCAGTGTAACCTGCACACCCATTACCAGAACTTTCTCCCTAATCTACACTGCACTGCCTATGGGTTGGTGGAACCCAGAGAAACTTCAGTCTTGGGCCTTCGCCATCCCTGGTCCTCTAGTTGGGGACAGGGGACAGATTCTCCAGCCTATGTGGTCACGGCCTGAGTAAGGGGGACAGATCCCATCTGGGTTGGGCTGGGAGAATATCATTCATGAGGCCATTGGAGCTAGGGCTTCAGGGGATGACTAAGAGTTCACCATTCCCAACTGCCCACAGTTACCACCTAATCACAGTTTAGTAAGGGCCCAGTGGGAAAAGGGGTAGCCCCAGCCTCCTGATCCTTGCAGCCCTTTTTGGGGGTGCCAGAAGCATCTCAACTCAGGGCGCTTACCCAGCATGCAGCATGCATCTTCCTTGCCTGCCCCACAGGATGGAGCAGTTTTCCCTCTGACACAGACTCGGCGTTGTCATGGGCAACTTTGTCTCTCCCTGAGCCTCTCAGTGTCTCTGTCCACTGGCGCCTTGTAAGATGATGTTGTCACAAGTCTCCTGATGCACACTCACCCAGGAATGGCTCTGCCGAGAGAACACTCTAGAAGGTGTTAAATTTGATTCCACGGAGAAAAACAAATAAAACATTCTAAAAATTCAGCACCAGTGACATTTTTGTGTACTTCAGAGGTAGGGGGAGTCCTTGAGAGAACAGAGCTAGCCTGGTCTATAGAGTGGGATCTTGACACCCCCCCCACAAGGAAAATACACAGGAAAATCATACATCTCAGTGTGCTGTGTTGGGTGACATTAAATCCAAGAGGCTCTAATTACGAGATTAATAGCTGACAACACCTACACCCAAACACTTCACACAAGGGAACGGGGACAAAGCTGACGAAAACCCATGACAGTCGACACCTAAAGCCTGACTTCACAGTATATAAAGTTTCTGGAAATCAACAAGAACCAATAGTAGATTAAAGAAATGAACAGAAGCCGGGCGGTAGTGGCGCACGCCTTTAATCCCAGCACTCGGGAGGCAGAGGCAGGCGGATCTCTGTGAGTTCGAGCCTGGTTGACAGAGCAAGTTCCAGGATAGTGAAGGCTACACGGAAGTACCTGTGAATCAAGAACCAACACCACACTGTACAGTAGGAAAAGGGGAACTGTTAAAGTGACTTCTTGAAAAGCAAATTCAAATGTCCGCCAAGATGAGAGCTGACTGGTTCCGCGCTGTGGCCTGAGCCTCCAGCTCTTCAGGTATTATCCGAGTTTGCTGCCGCCGCCTGGGCCACAACACAAAGCCAAGATCCCTCCAAAGAGTCAAAGCACAGACAACCGTCTCAGCTCAGGTGGCCTCCACCTGCTGCAGCCCCCATGGCTCTGGCCCTCACTGTAATCAATGGGTCCCAGTGGGTTTGATGGAGCACATGTGTGATGGAAACCGGGCAAAACCCTGTCTTGAAACCAAACAAACAACGAAAACCCAAACCACAAAAAGCTTGTAAGGGGCCTTAAATTCCAACACTGGAGGGGGGGGCGGGGAGCAGAGACAAGAGGATCTCTGTGAGTTCAAGGCCAGCCTGATCTAAGGGAGCTAGTTCCAGGACAGGCTCCAAAGCTACAGAGAAACCCCGTCTCAAAAAAAAAAAAATCAAAAAACAAGGGCTGGAGAGATGGCTCAGAGGTTAAGAGCACTGGCCACTCTTCCAGAAGTCCTGAGTTCAATTCCCAGCAACCACATGGTGGCTCACAACCATTTGTACTGAGATCTGGCGCCCTCCTCTGACGTGCGGGCATACATTGAGGCAGAATGCTGTATACATAATAAATAAATAAATCTAAAAAAAAATCAAAAAACAAAAACAACTTGGAATGGAATCCAAGGCTGGAATGGAATCCAAGGCTGGGCATACAGTAGGGAAATGACAACCTCAACTGGAGGATTCTAGGCGGGGCTCCACCATGACCACGCCCTCAGCCCCTCACTGGAGGATTCTAGGCGGGGCTCCACCATGACCACGCCCTCAGCCCCTCACTGGGGGATTCTAGGCGGGGCTCCACCATGACCACGCCCTCAGCCCTCACTGGGGGATTCTAGGCGGGGCTCCACCATGACCACGCCCTCAGCCCCTCACTGGAGGATTCTAGGCAGTGGAGGTTGGGGGCTCTTTCAATACAAACCACAGATCCCACCCACACTCGTCTACTTTGCTGTGTGACTGCAGGAAGCAGACACAGTCACTGGGCTGAGGATCCTGGCTCAAACAGCTGTGTGGTCCCTGTGTGGACAGTCAGACCAGGGCACAGTGCACCTACTGAGTCATTCACATTCAACCTACAGCACACGGGAAAACTGAGCTCTAGCAGGGGTAGTCTGTGAGTGGGTGACCAGGTCCCCACATCCCCACCCATCATCCATATGCCGAGCTCTTGAGTGTCACTCATGGGGACCCACTGATAGGGACCCACTGGTTACAGCGAGGGCCAGGGCCATGGGGAAGGGGGTCTGCAGCTTTTTCCTAATTAAAAAAAAATACGTTTACTTGCGTGTGTGTGTGCACTGGAGGATTCTAGGCGGGGCTCCACCATGACCACGCCCTCAGCCCCTCACTGGGGGATTCTAGGCGGGGCTCCACCATGACCACGCCCTCAGCCCTCACTGGGGGATTCTAGGCGGGGCTCCACCATGACCACGCCCTCAGCCCCTCACTGGAGGATTCTAGGCAGTGGAGGTTGGGGGCTCTTTCAATACAAACCACAGATCCCACCCACACTCGTCTACTTTGCTGTGTGACTGCAGGAAGCAGACACAGTCACTGGGCTGAGGATCCTGGCTCAAACAGCTGTGTGGTCCCTGTGTGGACAGTCAGACCAGGGCACAGTGCACCTACTGAGTCATTCACATTCAACCTACAGCACACGGGAAAACTGAGCTCTAGCAGGGGTAGTCTGTGAGTGGGTGACCAGGTCCCCACATCCCCACCCATCATCCATATGCCGAGCTCTTGAGTGTCACTCATGGGGACCCACTGATAGGGACCCACTGGTTACAGCGAGGGCCAGGGCCATGGGGAAGGGGGTCTGCAGCTTTTTCCTAATTAAAAAAAAATACGTTTACTTGCGTGTGTGTGTGTCTGTGTGTGTGCTTGCACACGAAAGGCAGAGGACACCTTGTGGGATGGAATTCCCGTTGTCAGGCTTGGTTGTTAAGTACTTTTCCTCACTGAGCCCGCCCAATGCCTCCCCTCATTTGTTATTGTAGTTATTTGGGGGGGGCTTCATGTAGCCCAGACTTGTGATGTAGCCAAGGATGGAGAGCAACTCTGGATTCTGAGTCTAGCTCAGGCCAAATCTCGCTGGATTTCGGGGCCTCCACAGACTTTGGGTACAGAGGAGGATCCACACCACCAAGGTCCCAGGGTCTCAGGCAGTGGGGACTCCTTGGCACAGTGTGGCTCTTGGGCGCCACCTTGTGGCCACGCGGGGAAGAAGCGGTAGGTCTGAAAACGAACCCCGCCCCCTCAACAAGCCTGTGCCTGTCTTTCCCTTCTACCTTTTTTGTTTCTTTTCTTTTTTCTGACCTCGAACTCTCAGAGATCTGCCTGCCTCTACCTCCAGAGCGCTGGGATTAAAGGCATGCGCCATGCGTTACCACTGCCCGGCTTTTTAAATTTTATTTTATTATTTTTATTTTTCCGAGACAGCGTTTCTCTTTGGAGCCTGTCCTGGAACTCACTCTGTAGACTAGGCTGGCCTCAAGATCTGCTTGCTTCTGCCTCTGGAGTGCTGGGATTAAAGACATGCAAGGTACCATCACAGAGAAAACATCCTTCAGTCTCTCGCCTCCAGGGCTGAATGAAGCCTGTTGTGGGTACTGCCTAGGGCGCCTGCATACGCAGTTCCCTCTCTGGGAAGACACTTCCGGCTGGTCACCTCTAGGAAGCCAAGTGGCAGATGTGTCACAAGAAGCATTTGGAAGTGAATGACAGACTGAACAGCGAGGAACATGTGGGAACCCCAGCTCATGGTCACTCTGGTGACCCCAGGAACAGGAAGTGGAGACATTGAAAGCCACTCTCAATACTTGGTCACGCCTGCAGAAAGACCAGTGCCTTGGGAGAGCTATTCCATTGGCTCCTGCTGGCTTCTCAGTCCCCATGGGGAGGGTGGGACGGGTCTAGAAGGCATGAGACACCTTTGGTGGCTTTGGCATGCTGGGGGCTGGAGACAAGGGCCTTGCTAACACGACATTATAGATGACAGCTGGAACTCACAGCCCGACAACACCTGCATGAGCAAGGAGCTAGGAGCCAGTTTGTTGGATAGGGTGTTCTGGAATCCATGGACCTACACTGCCTTTGCTGCCTGGATGATGGTGTCACGGACCGGACCATCAGGGAAGCTCCCTCCCACAGCGGATAGGAATGAACAGAGACCCACAGCTGGACAACGTGCAGAAAGTGAGGTCGGGAGTGCAGCATAAATGGGAGGTCTCCACCACACCTCAGAAAGTCTACCTGAAAACTGTCTTCCAGACACAACAGGACTGACACACAGGGGAAAGACTGGAGCTCCCACCCTACGGAAGAAGCTGTCTCCAACTGATACAGTGGGAGAAGGAAAAGCAGCTTTCTTAAATGAATGTGCTGATTTATTAACCACACACCAGGGCAGGCCCCATGCCCAGTAGCTGGCCAACATAAAACGAACCCAACAGTCTATTTTGCTTTCCTCGAGAATTGTTTTTGGGCTTACTGTTTACTTGCATGTTCTGTTTTTTGACTTTGTGGTTTTTCTCTGTGCCTGTGTTACTGAAGAACAAAAAAGAACAAAGTTCAACAGGTGGCAGGGAAAGACATGATCAAAATATATTGGATGAAAAACATTTCAGCCAGGCGGTGGTGGCGCGCACCTTTAATTCCAGCACTCAGGA